ATAATTTCTGTGGATCATTATAGATGCAACCTAAGTACTATAACCTAAGTGATATTTATTGCATTTTTTAAATTTTTTTTTTTTTTTGAAGAATCGTTTTTGGAGATAATTCTACCTTAACTTTATTGTGTCATTGGCATAAATTTGCTTCAGTATTATCACTTTTCATCTATATTTACTTGAGCAATATATCAAAATGTCAAAATGTGTTATTGTGACAAGCCTAGACTTCAGTTTTCCAAAATGTGGCTTTATTACAATTTATTAAAAAGTTTGAAGCAGCTATATATAGTCCTTGCATTCCCAAAGTCAGATTTTCTATAAAAATGTAACACTAACTCTGTGAAACCTCTAACAGCCTCCATTTCACATAGCTATTTATTTTTAATATTGCCCTGAATTTAGCTGTGAATTCCCATGCCAGGAGCGGGTCCCTGAACCTGTCAGCCTCTCTATTGCCATGTGACAAATAACTCTCCGCACTACGAGCAAAATGGGATCTGCTCCATTGCTTGAATTATTGAAGTGGACAGTGTGAGAAATTTATGGCACAAAATCCATCCACATTGGCCATGCATAATGTTTTAATACGTTTCCAATCCCAGTCCAGTCCCAATCCAGGCCGCATCTTCATTTCTCCGCAAAATATCATCCTATGTCATATTATGCAATTTGGGAGCTGATGCAATGAGGTGTACAACTCAACCCGAAAATTACCGATACGGGCTATCTAATGACTGCAGAGGGGTGACATTTTGGGGTTTTTGTCAGGCGTCTTATTACTAAAATCAGTATATGCCACGCTTGCCAGCACGTCGACCATTTCCAGTCGATAATCCCATTCCAATGTCAAACACAACATGCATGAAGAAACACACGGGGCCAATCAATGCTGTGACAGGGATGGGCTAAGAAGGCTCTGTTCATAGACTCAGAGGAAGTGGTCCAGCCTTGGATTTTATGCACAACTGAATCAAATATGTGTATGTCAGGTATATTTAGACTTGTCATGATAATACATTTTGAAGAACAATATATTGCTGAAGTAAATATAGAAGATAATAACGAATGATAATATTGAAACCACAAAGAGTATTCTAAATGTACAATATTTTCAACCTGTTAGGGCTCAAATTTGATCATATAGCCAAAATAATAACCACAAATTTCTAAATAGTAGGAATGTAACAACAACAGAAATATCGTGATATCACAGCGTCAACATTCTCACAATAATATCGTGGACCATTACAATATATCGAATTACAAGTCTCTTTGCTTAAACTAAGAGTTATGGTGCAGCAATAGCTAAAAAAAAAAGACAAAGAACTACATAGACCATGATCCTTTGCTCCATTTTAGTGCAGTCTACATGAAGAAATAACATTTTTAAGCACTTTTAAGTCTTTGGATTAAGTCTTGTCAAGGCATTTTAAGAGAAAAAATAAGCATATTAACAGTTTTATTAGCCTCCAAAAATATCATAATAAATATACTGTGAGATATATATCGTGAAAACATTGTACTGATAAATTTGAATATTGTTACATCCCTAATCGTGAGCCTCCCCACCATATTGTGAACTTTCCCGCGATAGCGCAATAAATATCGTACTGTGACGATATCGTATCGTGAGACTTGGATATCATTACACCCCTACTAAATAGTTTAAAGAAAATGTACATCTGATAAATATTTGACACCAAAAATATATCGTGCAGCTTTCATATATTGAATGTTAAGTCTGTATTTTAATTATCATGGCAAAGCTAGGTATATTTGGGAGATCATTCAGTTGAAACTATTTATTTCATTGGGCAAAGTCAAATTCAAAAGAAATAATCGTTGCAGGAGATCATCGTGGGGCTGCACCTGTTGTTGTACCAAGCTATAAATCATAAAACTGATGTAATGTATTGATTTGTTTCAGCTTCCCATTTATAGAGACCAATTTGAATAGTTTCACTGCTCAAAAGACACAATATTTTGTTTTGAATTGTGAATCACTTTGACACTGCTGCAAATTTTTCATCGCTGTAGAAGAAATATGGTGAAAATAGTTTCAAATGTGATGGTAGAGAAAATTTTTCAAAAGCAACTGCCAAGGTAAAAAGTTGAACTGCTGAACCTCTTTTGTTTACTTACTTACATAATTCTGCTCTATGCTGTTCTTCTTAGTTGTCTACCATAACCTTAAAAACATCAACCACAATGCACTATTTTGCCGCCTTTGTTCTGGCTACACACAAGACTAAATGGGTCTGTTCTTTTTTAACATTCCTTGCCTTTCATTTCATCGTCTCCCAAAAGACTGCCACTAATGCAATTCTCCTTTGAATCCATTTTATCAGTACGTATTATTAGCCCTCACAGCAGCCGTTGACCTTGGCCAGTCTCGTAGCCTGAAGAGAGCATATTCTCAACACTCCTTTGTGCTTCTCATTCTCTCACCAGTAGATTTCAATGGGGACCTTACAAACCGTGATGAACTTGAACCGCCACAGTTTAGCGTATAACAGCTCAATACTGAAAGCGATTTGATGCTGGAAAACGCGTGCTTATAGAACAGCAGCTAAAAGCACAACATGATACGGACAAACAACTCCAGCGACAAAGGTCAAAAATATTGCGTTGCCAGTCAACAGGCTCAACGACAATGCTGATCGCCTGAATTTGACCACTCACCGCCAGCACTTTCTCAGAACAGTCCTTTTGGTGACCTTTGTGGAAAAAAAGGGCTAGCATCTGTAGTAAATGCACTCCAAAGAACAAGCTAGAGGACGACAAACAGCACTGGAAATTCAAAACTGATCATTTTGTAAATATTATTCTTCTTTCCCCTTTGTTTTCTGTTTGTCTTTTTGCCCTTCTGGCCACTCTGCATACAGAAGGACTGCTCGACCTCAACTACTATGCTGTTTTTCAAATCTTTGCCACTATAAAGCAATCCATTTTTTCTTTCTTTCTTTTTTTTTTTCTTTAAGATGCACATATATTTGCTCATATTTTAATTTCTGCGTAATATTAGAATTTAAATTATAGTAAAGCAATATCTAGAATCTTCCCATGCTACTTGATATGAATTTTTGTTTGATAATTTATAAATTTTTTAATTTAATTTGATCTTTTTTTGTTTGTTTGTTTTGCTCTTCGTGCAAACTTGACCTCAAATACTACTTTTATACTCTTACAAATACTATCTCTGCCACTATGTTTTTTTTTTTTGTTTTTTTTAATATACAGTGAATTTGTATTATTTATCTTCCTCTGCCTAAATGTCCCAAAATGATTTCAGTGAATGCAGGACCACAGTTTGTTTATACATTTACAAATACCACATCTGCCACTGTAAAGCAATGTGTTTCTTGTTTTTAGATTTTTGTAATATGCAGTGTTTTATGTTTTTCACTGATTTATTTTGTTCTGCTTATATACAGTAAATGTCCCAAAATGACTTGAGTGAACGCAGGGCCACTGTTTGCCATTGCCTGACCTGGATATGCGCCGCAGTAGCCAGGGGCGGGCGGAGGATGGTGGCGTTGCTGGGCCAGAGCGAGCCTGTAAGAGCAGTACAAAGACAGGCCTGCTGCTCCCTGAGTGCAACCTCTCGCCCCGGGCCACGCACATGTACAAAGTGCTGCTTCTTTTTGTGTCCGGATCATGCGGAGCTACACTCAATCCCTGGGTGACACCATTTGACTTTCATTAGGAGTTTGAGCAGTAAGTGTACTCAACTCCAGCGTGAAGACCTCCCAACAGACACCTGCGATTAGTATTTATTAGCCGCTGTTATAGGTGGAATTAATGTCTAGGTACATGGCTGGAGACTTTGGTATTTTTAAGCACTGACTGTGGGTTCCTTTAATACATCTACGATAGACTATATTAAAAAGTGTGTTAAAAGTTTGTTCAAATGGTTCTTTGCCATATGCAGATTTTTGTTGTCTTTTTTATATAATTAAATTTGCATCATAATGTATCCCACATTGATCATTTACAAACATTCTTACTGATAAACTACTAAATCTCTCAATATAGTACTTTTGGGGCAGTGCTATTATGCTAGAGTTAATTATTGTCATACAGTTGTTGATTTTTGTGTTGTTTCATATTTGTTTGGACTAAATCAATAATGACATATTATTTTACTTATTTTTACACCGATTACTTCTGGAATCTATAATTTCAGCTAACAAATGTGTGCATTGATTACAGCTTTGACTCACATTGTCTTGACCGCTAAGTCATGGACGTATCTGGGTATCTTTGATGTTATTTTTCACTCCCATTAACACACTTACACAATTCAAAGTAATAACAATTTCATATAAATACAATATATTAAAGGCTTAGTGAAGTATATTAAATGTAGCCTAAAAATCTCAACATTGGTCACAGTCTCCTGACTTGATTTTGAATGGACTGGGGTTACTCCAAGCCTCTCCACTTTGGCTTTTGGGCATAAACTCTCAGCAACTAAAAACATCAACTAAATCAACCAAAAGCCACTACAACATCATCACATGAACGTTCCCCGCGAATGGTCTGATTCAGCCTCTGTCTGGGCCATGCATATTTTCACTCACAACTACCAAGCAATCATGAACAAACAGCCCTTGTGTATATCAAAGTAGTGAAAGAAAATACTCATAATTGTATACAGACAAACGCCAGAATACCCACGAGACTGCTAAAGGAGGAATTCAACTGCTTGACCTCAATGTTACCCTAAAGCTAGACTCTAGTGCCATCTATTGAAAACAACAAATCTGATTTCTGTACAAAATCAAACTCGCTGCACTGGAACTTGATCAGAGAAACCACACAATGAGGCTAATTCACAGGGGAAAGTGCCTCAGACTGCAAATGCATGCAAATAAATCTGCATTTTACACTTATAAGGTACTTTGACACAGCAATGGGATTCATATCGAAAGAAGGGACTGCAACAGTGGATAAGAAATATGCGCCTTAACGGTACAGAGAGTCCAACTGGTTACCTTCTTTGAGGAGGCGAGAGTGGAGGAGAAGAATGAGGAAGCAGCAGATCGCTGCTCCGGTCAGTGCCCACGCAACTCGGAGCAGCTGCATCTTGGCGTATAGGAGCTTTGTACAGCGGACAGAGGCAGGCGTGCGGCAGCGGCGAGGAACACTCTCCGACTCAGCTCACGCACACAAACTGACTCATACTGACACTGAAATCGCTGCTTATCCTTGTTTTGGAAATCCAACTTGATAGTCCGAACTGAAAGCGGGTAACGGGGTAGAGGAGCAGATACGCGCGCTTCAGTCAGTCCTCAGTGCGTCAAAGTGGTTCCAAAAGCAGCGGGGCGATTAACCCCCAATCACCGGCTCGAAGCTCGTCATCGCTTCTTCTTTTTATTCTGACGTCTTTTGGCTCGTGTCTTGTCCTCTTTTGCAGGCGCACGGAGGTCCACGATGCGGCGCACAGCAGATGATGATCACCGTTCTCCACTGCATGTTACGCACGTCGCTCGCTCTTCCACTGCTGCTGCTGGAGAGGCACAGGCAGAGCGCATTGCCAAGCCAGTCTCCTTTCCTCTGCTCACTCTCTCCAAATTCCCTCTCTCTCTCTCTCCCTCCGTCGTGCACCACGTCGCTCGCTCGCTCTCCCTCTCGCGCTCTCTCTGATGGCGTTTCTCTATCCGCACACCCCTCCTCTCCTTTCCTCGATATAGACCTGACTCCTGTTCAGTCCTTTACTCTTACCCATCAGATATATATAGCTTTCAAACGCTACTTCATCTAAACTTTTCAAGACAGTCTGTCAAATGAGATGCATTTATGAAACGGTAAACAAGGCTGGGTACGTTGGTTAAATGGGGGAAAAAAACTTCTCAAGAAAAAACGCAGACAAACCTGACATGTAGTGAATGAAAACGGCCTTAAGCTGATTTATACAAGTTGTATGGACTGAGGTTTATAGTTTTTGTACTGTTATAGCCCTTTTAAATGAAGGCATTACTCTGACCAAACTGCACTATACTCTGTATAACCTATTATGTATTTATTTATTTATTTAGAGGGACAGTGCACAATATACACGAAGCCTAACAGGAGAGATGTTTTGTGCCAGGTTGTAGCACTAGAGCTAATTTCCACCTGTAGTCCCTGATGCATGTTTTTTAGGTTGATGGGCGAAACCAGAGTGCCCGGAGGAAACCCAACCAGACATGAGGCGAACATACGGATCGAACCTTCTTGCTGTGAAGCATGAGCACTAGTCACTCAGCCACCGTGCTGCAAATGGTAGGCTATTTATAAAGACATACCCTGGCCAACTGAGGTTCTTAAAACTATAACAAATACAAATTACTTATTTTCCACAGGTAGTGCTGATGAACAAATGGATATACCTGTATATCCCTCTATCTATTATTTTGTATCGTCTGTGAAATTACACTTCCAAAAGGGCAAGTTTTCAGCATGGTGCCACATGGGAACATCTAGCACCCATATGGTCCAGCTTTTACTGGAGTTTACTTAAAAATGTTAAATCTTGAGCACACCATAAAATCTTTTAAAAGAAAAAAATAAAACAAAACAAACAAAAAACTAATAAATACTATTAAATATTGTACCTTCTTTTATTGCCTGTTGTACTTGATTTTTATGATTATGTTGACAATATGTTTGACGCTGGCAACACGGATGCTATTGCCAAAATGTTAGTTATTATTTATGGCAAATAGCTCAAGCTGTTTTAGAAAATGTTAGTTTAAGAAGTGGTTGATCAGTTATCAGCATGTTTTATTTATAAGCTGTTCTTTCTCACTTCCATTATGCTACAAAATAGACTGCTATTATAGGATTTTCCTAGTGATGCAGAACAACTAAGTGTGCAATGTGTGTAGGTGGACATCATATGGTGCGAAGACAAAAGCTCAGAAACAACATTATGCTCAATAATAACCCTAATTGTGCTTTCAAAGCCAAAAATTATACAGCCGTTTATCATGAGGCAGAGCGTGACTAGTTTAGCAAGACCGCTTTATGAATATTAATATGCAGCATGAGGAAAGCAGTGCTACTGTATCAGCCCAGCCTCCTGGATATTGAAACAAGCATTAGGTTGTGGACAGCCATGCTTGCGGCTAATTCAGGAAGAATATTCAACACCCCTTATTCAATTACATATGTATTCCACAGTTTCATCATTTCATCAACATAAAGAATTAATGCCATTGCAAATTCTTCAAAAGCTGCCCCTGCCCCTCTCTGTGTGATATCGAGGAGGATATGGGCTTGTTATGAGCGAACAGCAGCACTAGAGGAGGACTAACACTGAGCAGCTAAACAATAGGTTTCATAATCCCCCCCTGCTGACAGCCAACTCTGCCATTGTTTCATGTATAGTTTATTTGCATGAAGTGGGATGGAAATTCAAATATTTCCAAATGCATTTATTCAGAAGGAAGCTATGTGTGGATGGATGGTGCAGCAAAACAAGCCTTCACTTATGTCATCATGTACCACTGAGCTACACATTGATCAAACATTATTATGCAACCCTCCTTGCTCCTCGCCAGAACCAACATAAACTTTTCAGAATGCATTAAGTGATTGGCACTAGAGCTGCTACTGACTATTATTAAAGCAGCGCCTCGTGAGCTTTTTATTTACATTTTTTATTTTATTTTATTGATTTTAAAATTTCTTTAATGAAGCTGAAAAAAGCTGATGGAAGACTTCTGGTTGTTATATTCTAATTATAAATGTTTTTTGTCTTTTTAAAATTTCATAGTGACACTGTTTTTGTCAGAAACTACGTATTAAAACTAATATTTGAATAGCCAATAGTTAGTCGTCGCAATTATTCAGCTTAATGATTTCAGGCCCAATTAGCACAACTGTATGACTGAACCCTGCTTTTAATCACCATGTGAACAGCCTGTCTCTGGTTCAACACTACAGCACTTATTCCTTGTTCCACTTCTAACTGACAACTGCAGACCACGACCACCCATGCAGCTGCAGTATAGGAGCTGTTTTAACCAGTGGTGGAAAGTGAAAGTAAAGTACTGTACTTAGATGCAGTTTTGGTATCTGTACTTTTGACTTTTAAGTCACTACATTTGAGAACAGGCACTGGTACTAGTACTTTCTATTCTACTACATTTTTGGACTAGGCTGAAAAGCAAACGTTTTTTATTACTGTCTGAGGCCTACTGAAAAGCCTGAGGGGTTTATTTTTTACACATTTGTAGTGTAGTGTAAAACAAAAATATACAAAGAAAAGCAGCCAGGGGAAAAAAAATCATTTCATTTGTTTCTGTGGAAAAAAATACAGCACAAATCATTACCAAAATCGCTATATTTGAAGCTTTATTAGAGCTCAAAATCAAAGCAAAATACTTATCTTTACGGGTTTTTTTCCCCCTCCGGTATCTGTACTTTTACTTAAAGGTGCATTGCGTAACATTTCTAGAGGAAGATCCATCACCTGCTTGTCTCCATAGAAAAGTTGTTACTTTATCTAGAATATGATATATTAAACCTATCTATCATAAAAGCTCATGCCATGGAACATTAAGCCAAAAGTAAAAAGAAAGTTCTTTAGTTTAAATTAGATTAAATTAGCTTGTCATTGCCATACTGAGGACATGCTAGTGCCATATGTGTCTAAAATGAAGACCTGTTCTGTAATATGCACTTGCTCTGTGTAATTTTCTGATTGTTTTTCTAATACTGAAATTGTAAGTGACACTGGTCAAAGTGTGATGGTGTTGTGGCTGCGTTTGGCCCCTGCAGCTACAGACGCTAATTAGCTGCTAAGTGTGCGGTCTGTTTTATAAGATGAGGATTTATGAGCAGATGCCCACATGCCACTCTGTGCATTTGTGTAATTATAGTGTCCTTTATTGACATCTACAATTGTCTTGTATGGATCTGGTCAGAAAGGCAATTAAAAATAACTGAATCCAACAAGAATCAAATTATTGGTAACAGTAAGTGTCCTAAATAGTCTCATTATTGTGTTGTCGAAAAGCACAGCTCCTCACTTTGGGACCTCTCATTGGTTGGTGGGGATATTAGCAACTGGACTGGCAACCATTTTGTATACTGTGGTCCAAGGCAAGAAAATGATCTGATGAAGGCTTTTTGCCAGAACATAATATAAAAATAAAAAAAGCTTTTGGACATCGTGCATCTGAGTGTCTTTTGAAATGCACAGCTCCTGTCACAATATGTGTATCACAATGTGTCAAGTATGTGTGTGTGTCCTCGTGTGCAGAATTTTGAACATACTACACAATTATAATTACACAAAAAATAAGCAGTTGTGTTTTAGATTTGACTATACTTTTGCCCTCTATGGCCCTCTATTGATACTTTGCAGTGACATCACGTTCTACATGATTCTTTATGTTGGAAAGTTTAGCAGTTACCATGCATTTAAACATCACATTTTCAGAAGCATGTGATTAATACGAGCATTCATGGTCCTCTTTAGGTTTAGCTAGCTTGTGACTGTACTGTGATGATGTATGAGAGACTTGTTTAACTGTACAAATCATCTCATCTGTTGTAATTCCAGCAAAATCTGTTCTTTATGATCAGACTGTGTTAAAATAATGCTCAGATTAAAGTTTAACAAGCCTCAAATAGAGGAGTGCTTACAGTTAGCATCAAACCACCGGGGAACATTGATGACATACTGTCTGTTTTGAAAACAAATAATTTTGGTATTTTCTCTGATGTAAACTGTAAAATATATCTCTTTTAGTATTCATGGTAATATTAAAATGCATGAATTAAATGAATTTTTGCACAAAGGTGTGGCAGAATTCTGCGCTCAGTACTGTGTTTTGACACATTATTTTTTGGGTCCCTCATTTAAATATGAGTCACACCTAAATGTTAATACATTCCATCTTCTACAACCTCACACCATTGTTTTGCTGGAGCCATACTGGGGACAGCTAATATTTTCAACTAAAACTGTTCAGACAATAACAACAACAAATTGACGTCTGGGGATGGAAAAGGGGAAGTTGTAACTGTGCACATGTAAAAGGGTTGGCATTTCAATAACTACTAGAGCATTAAATAAAAGAAAAACAAAAAAAAACTTAAAAAAAAAAAATTATAAATATAGACACATAGACATTATGCTATATTATGTTATAATTATGTTATCTCATCAAAAACATACCAGGAGATGTGTTTTGTTTCATTTACTCATGTATTATTATTAATCTGTCTACATCTCTCTCCAAAGCTCATAATCAAAATGCTCTGTCTAATGTGATGTCTAGCAGTGGCAGTTATCAAGTTAACAGCTCTTTTTACCTTTTGTCAGAAAAGATTGGCTATTCCAGGGCCAAAATTAACCAAATGATTCTAGTGAAGGTGTATTGTGTTTAAAAATACAGTGGAGCACTTCCTGTGTTACCACGTTGCATCACAAGGTCTGTTTGTGTTTTAAACTTGTGCGAATGAAACAAAACACAACTCTAAGTGCGTTTTTGATGAGGAAACAACTTTATAACACAGATCAGTAAATAGTGAAATATGGGT